AAAGTAAGTTGGAGAGAGAGAGGGTGGAAGGAAGGAAGGAAGGAAGGAAGGAAGGAAGGAAGGAAGGAAGGAAGGAAGGAAGGAAGGAAGGGAGGGAGGAGGGAAGGAAGAGGGAAGGAGGGAAGGAAGGTTGGTTTCCAAGAGCCCACAGGTCATGAGTGGTAGCGGCTCTAATCTAGACCTAGGTATGACTCCAGAGTACTTACTCTAGTCTGTATACTATACAATCTTCCCACAAAGGACAGAAGACTTAATTCTACTTTGGTAAAGGTGAGAGGTAGGAGTGGGAAACTGGAGGAAAGAACTGAGCTGGATTTTGAAAGATGACTCAGGTACATCCATAGGTTGGAGCAGGGGATTTCTGGAAAGAAAATTAAATGAGTCCATGTATCAAAGCGTGTAGATGAGGCCACATGGATGGAGCACATTTTAGGCCTAAGTAAAAAAAAAAATGTTCATATTTGTGATAAATGGAGAACTGGCATACATGTTTAAAGTGGAAAAAGCCATGCTCTGTTTCACTCTTTACAAAGAATCATGGTCTTTATTCTTTGGATGGCAATACAGAGGCTGGATTGGAGACTAGGATAATAATTAAGAAACTGTAGAAATATGGAAGGCAAGAAACAATGAACACCTACTCCATATTCATCCCTGGAAAGGCAGGGATGAATATACATACACATACATCCCCAGACACAAACCATGTAGGAAGTCGAGTTGACAGAATTCAAGTAGAGGGTGTCAAAGACCAATGACTTTAAGATGACCTATTATGATGTTTCTACAAGTTACTGGTTTCTATTACAAGATATGGCATCATTTACCGAAGTAGAAAAAAGTGAAAAGAAACAGATTTGGAGGAATGATGAGCTTAGTTATGGACATGTTGAATTTGAAGTAAAAACATCTAGAGGAAAGTTGGATACCATAGACAGGTGCTCACAGGAAAAGTCTAAACAGTGATGAAGATGCATAATCTTGCACTGCAAAGGACAGCTAAAATCACGAAATGGCATAAAGTTATCCTGGGTATACATAAAAGTCAGAAGAGAAGGAGAGGGAAAAGAAGATAGGGGCAGGCTGGGGCTTGGCTCAATAATAGAGCACTTGCCTTGTACGTATGAGGCACTGAGTTTGATCCTCAGCACCACATAAAAATAAACAAATAAAATAAAGGCACACTGTCCATCTACACTACAAAAAAATTTTTTTTAAAATAATGTAGGGGCATACCAATCAAAGTAGATCAAGAAAGAGGATCCAGGAAGTGAAAGGAAGAAAGTAGGGGATTCAGGAATGAGTAAGGTACAAATCCTATGAGAGAGGGCAGTTTTCAAGGATGAAAGAAATGGTCAATTTCAAACCACAGGTAAGACAAGCCCTACCAAGGCCCAAGTCATGTGTTCTCTCTCTAGAGCAGTTTTTCAGCAGTGTGGAACCATAGTTGGAAAAGTCACTTAAAAAATTAGTAACCTAGCTGGTCTGCGGTGGTGCATGCCTGTAATCCCAGCAGCTCGGGAGGCTGAGGCAGGAGGGTCGAAAGTTCAAAGCCAGCCTCAGCAACAGTGAGGGGCTAAGAAACTCAATGAGACCCTGTATTTAAATAAAATACAAAATAGGGCTGGGGATGTGGCTCAGTGGTTGAGTGTCTCTGAGTTCAATCCCTGGAACCAAAAAAAATAAAATAAAATAATGAGTAACCTAAGCAACCAACTGGCAGCCCAAATCCTGTACCACAAATAATGTGGAAAGAGCAGAAGCAGATGCTTATATCACTGTAAGTTTGACTGAAGGCAGGTTTTTAAAATAGGTTATAAATAATGTTTGTAAAAAAAGTTCTCAGATTCCACAACAGCCTCCATTCTCTTGCAGACAGGTTTCACCACCTTATGGAAGCCCAGAAATTTATAGTATGAGAGTGAATGAAAATTCTTACATTAGAAGATACCAACGTCGTCATTAGTGATGTGTCATTCTAAATTCAGGGGGTGTTAAAGGAAATTTAGCCCTCTTTCTCAACTCTACCCCCAGAAAATTGGTAGTCAGAATTTTCCTTCCAGGCAGGAGACTGGAGCAGTCTTCACCAGAGACTATAACCAGTGTAGGGAGAAAGACCTAAAAATACTGCCATCTGGCAGCCCCAAGGAACAAATCCAAACAGCCACAACACTATAGTCAAACCCACAGCTAACAACAGAACCATCTC